ACAAGGTTATGAGTTCGGTTCCCGGTACCGGAGATAAACCGAAAAAAAAAAAATATATATATATACATACAATATATAGATAGGTATTGTAAAATGAGAAGAAACTTCAAAAGGAAAGAGAAATTGGGATAGGGGATGGAGAAAAGAAGGAAAGGAAAAGAAAAAAGGAAACAATATGTATATATATAAAAGATAGTTAAGATAGATGTATTTGGGGCTGGAGATTTAGCTCAGCAGCACAGCACCTGCCTGGCAAGCACAAGGTCATGAGTTTGAGTCCCAGTACTGGGAAAACAAAACAAAACAAAACAAAAAGATAGATGTACTACTAATTTCTCTTAATTCATTGAAAAGAAAAGTTTGTGCTTATACTGTTTTGACAATTAAATGCCGATATCTTGTATTCTGAGTAACTAAAGATAACAATAAGCGATGTATTAACCATTATTACCCTCTTGTTATCGTTTTAAAATTTTATTTTTTTCTCTTTAAAATAAAATTTAAAAAATTTTGTATTTATGATGCACAACATGTTTGATATAGCTAATGTAAGATACATATATACACTTAGACATACATAATGGAACTTCTTCCTAGCTAGTTGAAATTAACCAACAGGTGGCCAGCCTTTCACCCCTTAGCCTGTGGTAACCACTATTTTATTCTTTCAAGTAAAGACTTCACTGTATACATTTTCACACTGTATACATTAATGATGACATATGGTAGTAATACCTTGAGGTTCATCTTATGTTGTTTGAAATAACAAGATTTCTTTGTTCAGTAAGGCTGAATAGTATGCCATTGTGCCTATATATCACATTTTTTAATCTGTTCATCTGTCCTATGGTTTATTTTGAGTTAATTTTTATGAAAGGTATAAATTCTATGTTAATTCTTTGGGAGGCACATTAGCTAACCCTTTATCCTTGTACATTTTTTTGTAATTTCTTTGGCCCTTTATTAAAGGTCAGCTAATTATACTTATGGGGATGTATCTTTGGGCTCTTTATTCTCTTCTATTCATCTGTGTATCTCTCTTTCATTAATACCACATTGTCTTGCTTGCTGTAGCTTTCTAATAAGTCTTGAAGTTAGGTAACATGAATCTTTCAACCTTTCTCTTTCAGTATTTGAGTCAGTTTTAGCATTGGTTTACTTTAGGGTTTTTTAGTTACACTATGTTATCTCTAGGTAGAGAATTTTAGTAGTACTTCTCAATTATTACAACCCTATTTGGTTTCATTTCTAGTTACATTAATATTTCCAAGTCAGTGTTCAATAAGAGAGGAGATGGTGAGCTCCTCACCTTGTTCCTGATCTTAGTGGAAATGACTGTAGATTTTCTCACTTAAGGCTCTGGTTTTAGGATAAAAAGTACAGATTGTATCATGTTAAAAGGCATACAGCTATGAGTCATTTGGGAATAAATATAGATTTTACTTGTGAGTTCTTGAAGCACCTATGGAGGTAACTGTATGGTTTTTCTCTATAGATGTGTGAATATGAGGTATTATATTAATGAGTTTCCTAATACCTAGCATGTTCTCACAGTGAACCAAACTGGTTTTCCTTGAATAAATCCTACCTGATCATGGTATATTATGTTCTTGATATGGTACAGATTTTTGTTAGTATTTCTCACATTGATAGTGATATTAGGCTGTGCTCTTCATTAGGATTAATTGTCACTGTTATTCTTGCTCCCCTTTTTTCAGTTTTCTGGAAAACATTGTTGAATTATTGAGCTTATTTGGTCTTTGTAGATTTGTTAGAATTACCTTGTGAAATAATCTGGGCCTTTAAGTTTTTCAGAGTAAGCAGAATTGGGTCCAGGGATATAGCACAGTGTCTCTACAGAATAGAATTTAAGGGATTACTTTAAGAAAACTCATCTCCTCTTTTTAAGGAAACCGTCCTTTATTCATTGTTAGGTCCTTTGCATGTAAATTATCTAGCGCTAAATCCTCTCATTTGTGGCTTCTTGCCCTCTTGTTCTTGTGTTTTACAGAATGCTGTCTGCCTTGAGAAATCAGATTCTCAGGACCATGAGAGGAATGCTGCTTTTTCTTTTGTCTAGATTCTGGGTAAGCTATGATTGCATCAGGCTTTTGAAATATATCTCTCCTCTCTCAGAGGTATCTCATCAGAATAGCTCCCATCCCTGTGGTATTTTAGTTGTTTGTTTTTTTTTTAACCAGTTAAGGATTTCAATGAGAATTCATTTTTGCATTCTATATGCATATTAAGTGCCAACTGTGTACCTAAAGCTACTCTAGAATCTTAGTATCAGTGTATAGATCCTCTGCTGTCTTCCTCTGACTAACCAAGAACAGATCTCATGTACTTGGCTCTGTAAACTCAGTTTAATAGAAGAAAAGAAGAAGAATGTTCCCTCTGATACTTAAGTTTTTATGGGCTGATGGTGACAGAGACAAGGAATGCAGTTGGGACTTAATACATTGTATACTGTTGTTAGTGGTTTTTCTGATAAACATTTCTTAAAATGTGCATGGTGCATAGTTAAAGCAGTGTTTTCTATGGATGCCTGTCATTGTAGGCAGTTCTTTAAAATCCCAAGAGCAGGTATGTTAGTCAACAAGGTGGACTCTTAACTCAGCATCTTGGTAATAAATACATAGAAAAGTATTCATTCACTTACATCTTAGAGACAGACACATGCTAATTTTTTAAGTACTTTATTGGGTAACAAAGATTCATTTGATGGGTCAGGTTAATATACTTATGTCCAAAGATATTCATTATCAAATGAGCAGAGGAAAATAGTTTTTTAGTCTAAGGAGTGCTACAATACCATGAAAATCACCTGAAAGCTATTGTTTGGACCAAAAAAATATTTCTGGTACTGTGCAGTAAATTATAAAGACATGATAGAGTATTTGAAATCCAGGGCATTGTCAGTGTGTTTAGCACAACATGCTAAGTGTCACATCTTCTAGATCCTTTGGGTCAACTGGGGTGGTGGTATACAGTGTCTTCAGGAGCTGTATGTGTGGGTCCTTTGGGTTGAAGGTGTATTTTAATTTAAAATAGGGTAACCAGAGAAGGCCTCAAAAGAATGTGACAGTTGAGCAAAGAAGTAAGCTGAGGGAGAGAACCTTGAAGATAACTAGAGGAAAAGCCCTTCAGTCATGGAGAAACAGTGGGGAACAGGTCTGGCTCGTTTGGATTAACAGGTCTGGAGGGTAACAAGTATAAGTGTGTAGGGGGATAGTAAGGAAAAGAGTCACAGTGGTCACAGTGTGTGTCAGATTTTTTTAGGGACTTGTAGTTTCTAACAAGCAGTTTTGGTGGAGTGGTGAGGGTGAATGTTTGATTGGAAAATATTCCAGAAACCTTCAGAGACAAGAGTTGGAGATTCATCTGTCCAACTCTTGGAGACAGTAAATAAATTCATTTCTTTTGAGGACATTTAATATAAAGAGGAATATTAGCTTAAGGGTGGGGCAATTGAGAGACATTTTCTTGTTGGTTAGACTTTTGTTTTTTAGAACAGAGTTAAATATTTTGCTAAATAGAATAATCCATAAAAGAATAAATACATAGCGGCAGAGAGAAAGATAGAGTTGCAGGAGTGATGTCCTTGTGATGAAAGGAGATAGAATCCAGTACACAAGTGGAAACAGTGCCTTCAGATTGAGCAAGGGCAGTGTGTCATCTGTGGTTAACAGAAGATGCAGTGCTTGACCACATGGAAAAAGTTGGTTGAGGTGGTGGTAGGAGCTTGCAGAAGGGTGTTAGCGTGTGAGTGTGTGTGTGTGTGTGTGTGTGTACATGTGTACTTCCTTTTTCTTAGTAAAAATCATTAGCTTTCTCCACTGGCATCTGCTCTGCTGCAGCCATTGTGTTCATGTTTATGGCCTTCTGCTACATGCTGATACTGCTACTCACCTCCACACTCATCTCTTCACTATCTGATACATTATAGCATTTGATAAGCTGAAGATTGATTACAAGAATGCTATATGCCAGTATAATACCTTTAATCCTCCTGTCCTTCCCTGCTTTCTTCTGTCCCGTTTCTTTGTGCAGCGGAGTGGCTTACACTGGGTCTCAATATGCCTCTCTTGGCATACTATATTTGGAGGTACATGAGAAGATCATTGATTGATGAGCAGACCAGGACAGTATGACCCTATGACCATCATGAGTGCTGACATTCTAGTCTACTCTCAGAAGGCTGGCACAAATTAGTTGTTGTTGTTTTTTTTTCTTTTTGGGACAGGGTTTCACTATGCAGTTTAGGCTGACCTTGAGCTCACTTTGTAGCCCAGGCTGTTCTCAAATTCACAGTGATCCTCTTGCCTTAGCCTCCCGAGTGCTGGGATTACAGGCATGTAGCACCACACCTGCTGCAGATTAGCTTTTTACCTCATAGTATATCTTTACTGCCTAGGTAGCATGGTCTGCATTTTGGTGAGCCCTTGGAACAACACACAGGAGAATCATCCAATTAAGTGCATGCAAAAGCCACTGCAGAAAGGGAGTCTATCCAGGAACGTCCTGTTTCCAAGAGTGGCCTGTGGAATCCGATCAGTTACTTTAAAAAATGACTCCTTTTAAAATATGTCCCTACGTTTTGCTTGTGGAAAGACTCTTCATGTGTTATACTTGGATAAAGAATTTAATTGGAATTATGTATAAATATAAAATGATTACCTCTGGATTGACAGGTAGAACTTGCACTCCTTAAGGAACGCCCATAGCCCTTTGAATAAACACAGTAATCACTGTCCTTAGTCCATTGAAAGCTTTTACTTATAGGAACCTACAGGGCTCATGTTGTTTAATTGAAATGCCATTATATTATAAAGTAGCAGTAATCAGGTACATCTGATGAAGTGAAAATGTACGTCTGACTTGTAGGAAACTGATAGTTTTCCTAATTTATCATGTAGATAATTGTATCTGGATACAATGACAAACATAAGAAGAGTGGTATGTTTCCCTCTTTGACTTGAATATTATCCCTGTATAGTGCATAGATGAGAGATTTCCTGTTTCTTTCAAAGTAATATGCTTGCTTTAATTCTTAAGCATAAGTGAACATGATGTAAAAAATACATGCTGACTATGAAGAAGTCATTTAAAGCTATTTTAAATTATTTGTAAGAAAATTATTTATTAAGAAACTGGTTGTATTGTACTTACTGTTCTAATCTGGTGGAAATATATTTTTAAGAATTTGCAAGTACTTTAGATTTTCAGAGTTGAATGAGAGGGAAAATTGTGTAACCACCCTGTTGTTCCTTTATAGTGTAATACAATAAAACTCTGAAATTAATACTCAAATCATTAGCTTATACTTATTAGGCAAACAATGACAGTGTTGTATGTATGAGGAGCAAGTTAAACATAGTAAAAGTTTACTGAAGAGAGTAAATGTGAAGGATAGGGAAAATAATCCCCTTTGATTTGCTTTCTTTCTGAATAGGCATACTAATTTTTTTGTTTGTTTGTTTTGTTTTGTTTGTTTTTCTCCGGTACCGGGAACCGCACTCACGACCTTGGGCTTGTCAGGCAGGCGCTTTTTGCCGCTGAGCTAAATCCCCAGCCCCTAGGCATACTAATTATTAAACTTGTCTTGATTTTCTCAGCTGGAGTGAGGGAAAGAATAGCGTAGTTTTAAGGTCACCCGGATTCATAAAAGAAGGAATTGTTACTTGGAGTTTCTGATAGGTATTGTTTATATTAGCAGAGAGGAAACTACATACAGATGAAGCATCCTTACTCCAAACATTTAGAAACCAAAATCTGTAACTTTTGAGTGCCAGTAAGATGCCATGAAAGTTTCACACAAAGAAGCCTTGTTTTGTGCACAAAATTGTTAAAAGTAGTGCATAAAAACCTTTAGGTTATTTGTGTAAGATATAGATGAAACCTAACTGAATTTTGTTTAGACTTGGGTCCCATCCCCAAGATATCCCATTTATATGCAAATATTCTAAAATGTGAAATCCAAAATGCTTCCCTTCCCAAGCCTTTTTGGATAAGTTATACTCAACCCACATAAAGCCTAGAAGACTTAGGGACTCTCATACAGAATTTCTTCTTTACAGAGATTTTAATTTTGAAGATCCTTTTTTTAGATATAGGAATATAAATAATATTTCTACTTTGTCTCACAGGTTTGGATATACAAAGTAAGGAATTCATGTATGTGACACTGGAAACGCGTGGAGGACTGTGCATGACTGAAAGGCTTGAAACAGATGTGTCTTCCCCATTCTCAACAAGAAAATGACTACAAAGGCAATAATGGGTCAGAAAGACCATCGGAAAACTCCCTAAGAAAGAGCCATAGAAAATGTACACTTCAGAAGAGAGATGTAATCAGAGAACTCAAAAAAAGAACATATATCATGTATGCCCTCAGAAGGGTAAAAAGATTTTTATTCATGTGCATGAGATTACTCAAATAGATAATCAAATATACCAGTGCCTTGAACGTGAACAAAACTTCTGTGAAAACTTAGCTCTTATTATGTGTGAGAGAACCCATACAGGGGAGAAACCTTATAGATGTGATATGTGTGAGAAAACCTTCATCCAAAGCTCAGATCTTATTTCACACCAGAAGATTCACAATTATGAGAAACCATATAAATGTAGCAAATGTGAGAAGAGCTTTTGGCACCACTTAGCCCTTTCAGGACACCAGAGAACACATGCAGGTAAAAAATTCTATACATGTGACATTTGTGGCAAGAATTTTGGTCAGAGCTCTGATCTGCTTGTCCACCAGCGAAGCCATACAGGCGAGAAACCTTATCTGTGTAGTGAGTGTGATAAATGCTTCAGTCGAAGTACAAACCTCATAAGGCACCGAAGAACTCACACAGGTGAAAAACCATTTAAGTGTCTGGAGTGTGAAAAAGCTTTTAGTGGGAAATCTGATCTCATTAGCCACCAGAGAACTCACACTGGTGAAAGGCCCTACAAATGTAATAAGTGTGAGAAAAGTTACCGACACCGCTCAGCCTTCATTGTACATAAAAGAGTTCATACTGGGGAGAAGCCCTATAAGTGTGGTGCCTGTGAAAAATGCTTTGGCCAGAAGTCAGACCTTATTGTGCACCAGAGAGTTCATACAGGTGAGAAGCCGTATAAATGCTTGGAATGCATGAGAAGTTTTACTCGGAGTGCCAACCTAATAAGACACCAGGCCACTCATACTCACACTTTTAAATGCCTTGAATATGAGAAAAGTTTCAACTGTAGCTCAGACCTTATTGTCCATCAGAGAATTCACATGGAAGAGAAACCACATCAGTGGTCTACATGTGAAAGTGGCTTCCTCCTTGGTATGGACTTTGTTGCCCAACAGAAAATGAGAACTGAAACAGAGGACCTGCATTATAAATACAGTGTATGTGATAAAAACTTCCACCAGAGCTCTGCCCTTCTTGAACATCAGACAGTACACATTGGTGAAAAACCATATATCTGTAACGTGGGTGAGAAAGGTCTGGAGCTCAGCCATCCGCATGCCTTGGAGGCCTCACATATGTCTTGACCACACAAGAAGTTTTACTATAAAAAATGTATTTACACGTCAAGGAACTCATTAAGATGAATACTAAGTAAATCTCAGACTTTGATGAGAGCTCAGACTTCAGTGGGGACCAGACAGCCTGCCGTATTAGGAAGTGTGAGAAGTGCTTTATTACCCAGAGTTGTGCTGCCAAACACCTTACCATTCACTCCAAGGAGAAACTGCAGGTGTCTTGAGTGTTGGCAAATCTAGTGTGAGCTCAAATTTGGTCACTCACAAGAGGATACAGGTAGGAAATCTTTCACCTGTAATGGGTTTGAGAGCTTTCAGCCCTCCTCATTGCAAGAGAATTCACCCCAGAGAACAACTTTTTAAATGCCTTCAGTGTCAACAGGATGTACATCTCATTGGACACCAGAAAAACCCATCCTGGGGAAAAGCCCCAGCAAGTGTGGGAAAAAACCTAACAAAACTCTGACTTTCATACCCATCAGAGAAGCCATACTGGTGAAAAATTGTACATATGTCCTGAGTGCGGCAAAAACATTAGTTGGAGAGCCTTACTTGGGTTTGTACTAAAAAAAAAAGCAAAAACCAGTCTGAGGAAAGACCCTACAGGTGTTTTAAGAAAGCGTGTCAATGATCAGTTCTTGGAGTACATAAGGGAACTCACATGAGTGAAAAACCCATAAATACCTTGAGTCTGAAAAAAGGTTTGCTAGAAGCTTTTGCTTTTATTAGGCCCCAAAGAACCCATTCTACCAAGAAGTCTGTGCCAAGTGAGAGATCTAATTATGAGTGAACTATCTATGTATATATACATGAGAAGAATTGTTCTCATTGTTAGTTGACCCATACTGTAGTGATAACTTCAAATGGAGTCAGTATGGAAATAGTTTTCTAGATCCCAGAAGCTTGTGGGAGAAGCTAGGGCAGGTCAGAGTAGACCTGATGGGTAACTCAGGTGAAGATGCTTTTCTTTTGTCTGAACCACTTAATAATTGCTTTAATTTCACTTTCATCAGACATCCAGTAAACAAAGGGACTCATATCTTGGGATAGAAGATGCAGCATGTGTTACTTCGGGGGAAAGAAGTATGTTGATTTTGCCTCATGATCTTTTATCCTTGTCTAGAATGGGCCTAGTGTATTGGTACTGGCATGGGAGATTTTTGCAGGCTGTGAAAGGAATTGAGAAGCTAGGGAGCACTTATTCTAGGTTAAAACACTCCCAACAGTTACATAATAGGTCAGCTTCATGAAAAGCAGAGTACTCATCTTTTAACTGTTCACAGTTTGAGGTATACCCTCAAAATCCCTGAAATATCTTAGTTTTTATTGATATTTGAAATTTCACATTTATGGATTTCTTATCAACTTAAAATCCAAATTCTAGGATAATGGTTATGCTATTATTAGTATCTATATTTTTGTGACTTGATTTATCATCCCAGTGGTAGATCCTCGTACTTGGCTCTAGCAGAATGGCCAGGGGAAGGCTGAAAGGAAAGTATGAGCCTGAGTAAAAGGACACAGTGGTTACTAATACAGGAGCAAGACCTTTCGTTTTGTGTATCTTGACTCCAAAGCGGGTGTACTTTTCACTCCCATTATCCTGATGTTTAGCAAATCAAGCCTCGTAATGATCCATTTTTTTATTTATTTCAGTTCTGCCAATGAAAGAAAAATACCTTTTAATCCCAGGGAAAGGATTGCAGTCACCACAAAATAAGGTAGATTTTGGCTTGGAATACAGGACGCTAAATGCTAGAAGAGAAAAGTAGTTTGGCAAATACGGCAGAAGTTCAAGGATAAGCACTTGCCTCCGATTTAACAGGGTAATTATGATTTGTCTTTTAACATTCTTTTAAAATACTGTAATCCATGGATGTATAAATAGGTACTTCTCAGGTTTTGTTTTTTGTTTTCCATCCCTCAGATTTAGAGACATTTAATACAAATTCTTCATATTTGGGAATCTGGACTGGTGAACAAATACTTTGTTACTGGTGAGAGTTCTTATTTTGGGGGGTTGACTTATCCAGAGTAAATTAGCATTTAGGTTCATGGATTTGGCCAGCTGTTACCTTCTATAGGGCTGTAAGCTTTGATCCTAATGGCTGGTTGGTGATCATTATAATCTTAGGGCCGGTGGCTGTAGCTCATAATGATAATAAAGAATCTGATTCTTTTAGGAAACAGGACTTAAAAGTTTATTTGATCAGACATAGTTCATTTTTTATAAATAGCTCATATACCATGAAATGTTTCCCAGTGTGGTGAAGCACACAAGATGTATTTTTTCCCTCTGGTGAAAATCATGCCTATTACTACAATAAGTTTGACAGTTATAATACTTAAAATAGTATTGGGTGTATGGCATGGCATTGATGAAAATTAGTCCTTATGGCTACTTGTTAGTCATAGAGAAATCTTGGAGAAGGGGACAAAATTGGTATCACTAACACAGAACAGTGACTTGCTTCTTCTTTCAACTAACTTTACTGGTAATTGTCTCTAGTCCTTAAGTAAATTAACGGTGGACCATCCCTCAAGTAGAGAACTTTGCAAATATAAAACAAGTCTGAGGGCTTTTAACCATGGGGGGAGAAGGTGTTGATACTATTCATATAGTATAACCTGAGGTTGGAGAGGACCACTGGGGAGCCTGTAAACAAAACTAGAAGGTAATTTCTAAGATGGATGGAGGTTCCCTTGAAGCAGTGCCAGCCTAAATCTACCTCAGGTAAGTAGTTAGAGTGACTTTTTCAAGATTTCAGACCAAATGAGATAAATTGTATGCAGTCAGTGTATTCCTATGCTTTAATGCTTTTGTTTTCCCTCAATTCTTAATAAACATTTGCTCTGAAAAACTCCATTTTTGTCTCTATTATACAAAATCAGCGTTTCTTCTATACTTGCATTAAATAAAACATATTCGTGTGGTACTTCTTGAGGGTGATGATAACCATGGAGCAGTCTACAGATTTTAGGACTTCTTGATGCTGAGACAGAGAATAGAAATCTGGAAGCAATATTGTCTTGAGTTTTGCTTTCAATCTTGGATCCTTTTGGAGCCTCCACTGTGTTACAAATACAGCACAGGAAGGATTAATAGCTTGAACTGACCATATTTGGAGCTCTGCTAAAACTCAGTACCTGTTACTTATGTAATTCACCTTAAAATTAAGGAATAATTTTGAATTTGTAATTTCCATTCTTACTGTTTGTTGAATTGTATCATGTGCTCACCCAGCCAAAATCTGTGGCAGTCAGAGCCTACGGACCACTTCAAAACAAATCTCTGAAGGGCAGGGAGTGGGCTCAATGGTAGAGCACTTGTCTGGCACCTCAGAAGTCCTGGGTTCAATCCTTGGCACTGAAAAAAAAAAAAAAATCCGTCTTTTTCTAAAGCCATAAGTATTCTGCCTCCTTTAACATGCCAAAGCTTTCATCTTTTCTTCAGTCACATGTTTTTAATAGCCTCAGGACCCTTTTTGTGGTCTTTCTTTTGCTTCATTTCCTTCGTTGAGATTTCCCATATGAATATAGATAGCCTTTCATTCTCTGTTGAAAAAAATGTTACGTTGCTCTTAATAGTGCCAGTTTTTTTTTTTTTACTTTTTTTCCCTTTCCAGAATTTACCAGCTTAAAATCTTGACTGCCTCCATGTTTCATTTTTACCACGCTGCAATGTAGTTTCTCTCCTCAAGTCTGCCTCATTACCCACTCAAAGATCACCTCTGAACTAAAGTGGAGGATGCATTCTCCAACACTGCATGCCACTTTCCTCCCCTTTCTCTCCAGTCCATCTTAGTTCAGTAGATGTAGCTACCTTTGCCTTGAGGACCTGTTTAGACTTAAACTACTTTCCATTACTTACTGCACAAACTATAAGTTTTCTAACATAGCTTTTAAAGAGTAAAACTTGACCCATTTTAAGCTATATTTTAAACAATCTAGGGTAGAGATTGCATCCTCAGCTGTTGTTACATAAGCCCCTCCCAACTCCACTGTACAGCTAGGGTTCTGGGGAGTGGCATAAGATAAGAGCTCAGAGCATTAACCAGGAGATGGGTCAAGAACTAGACCTAAGAGCTGAGGTGTAGCTTAGTGGTAGAGCACTTGCCTAGCATGTACAAGGCTCTGGGTTCCATCCCCAGCATTGAAACAAAAATTATTCCTGAAATGAGCTACTGTGGCCTTCTAGTTACACAAGACAATTCCTTTTTCATTATTATAACAATATCCTTATATGTTTCATAAACTCACCGAGATGGGTAGTTTTTCTTGGTGTTATCTATACATACTTGTTTTTTGCTTATTCTACTTTCTGTGACTGGATCGTGCTAAATACTGCTTTCTAACCAAGTATGAATACCATGAAGTATGAATTAATGTAGCCCAGTGGTAGATACCTGCTGAGTGTGCCTGAAGCTCTGGGTTTGATCACCAGCATTGCAAAGGAAAAATAACATGAAATTATATGAAACTCATACCTGGGGGTTAGTTGTTCAGTGAACTGCCTGAAATTTTATGACAAGTTTTAAGGGAGAGAAGGCTCATAGCTTAACCAGATCCCCAGAGCTGCACTAGTCCATCACAGATTGGGATGCACTGCTACAGGCCAACTCAAGTTGCAAAGTCTAAAAGGTCTCCTTTGGACTTTTCTACAACTTTCTGAAGATAAATCTATCCATTGGGACAACTTAACCAACCAAGAAAATCATCCTGCACTAACATTTGAAATTTAACTCCCAATAATGGAACCAGGGATAATTAAGACAGAACTGTTAAAGGTAATTATGGAAATCGTTGTGGCAGATAGCAAAAAAGTTACCAAGACATTAGAATGTGTTACAGGAAATCAGAAGCTTTATGAGTCACCTTTTCATCATGGTGACCAAATACATGACATACACAGTTCAAAGGAGAAAATGTTTATTTTTGCTCATGGTTTCATTCCCTGACAACCGGCTCCAAGGCATAAACATCGTGGTAGGAGAGCAGAAGACATTGCTCATCTCATGGCAGCAGGAAATAAGAGGGTTGAAAAAGCTAGAGAAGAAGGGATCAAGAACAACATACACCCTTTAAAGGAATGCCCTGCCTTGTTCTATTAAACCCCACCTCCCAATAAACCCATTAAACTTGGAACACCACAAGAAATGAATCCACTTAATGAAGTTAAAGCCTTCGTGACACATTCAGTTTCTCCCTTCCCATCAGCTGGCAGTCAAGCCTTCAATACAGACTTTGGCTGACATTCTGTATCCTATCCATAACAGGACCAACACGAAGAGGCTCAAGATGAAGTTTAAGAAGCAATAAGGATAATAATGGCAGTGGGTTGCATTGTACCAAATACTGTTTATGAGGAGAAGCAAACTAATTTGAGTGCTTTCTTTTTAAAAAAATAGGGCCTCAGTCTATTGCTCAGGCTGCATCTCAAACTCTTAAGCTCAAGTGATTCTCCCACTTGTATGTCTCAAATAGCTGGAACTAAAGACATGTCAGCATGCCTACTTCCTTAATTGGGCACCTTTGAGGGATATTAAGAAACTATAATATTCTGAAGATTAATTGGAATTTTTTCTATTATTGCATTGTGCAGTTAAGTTCATTTGGTTTTTATTAAATAAAAAGGTTTGCTTTTTCACGTTTTTTTGAATATGTAAAACATTTCCATAATTAAAAAGCCAAGATAGGGCTGGGGTTTATAGCTCAGTGGCATGGTGCCTAGCTAGCAAGCATGAGGTCCTGAGTTTGATTCCTAGTACCAAAAAAAGGCCAAGATAATGTAAACTATCTTACTCAAAAACATCGCAGCCCTCTCCCTGTTCTGTCCCTTCTACCATCTGGGACAAAAGTGATCCATGCTTTGTTTCTTTTAGCAAAAAACGAGCATGTGTGTGTGTCAATTTTTTTGTGTGTGTGTGGTCTTTTTGAGACAGGGTTTCACTATGCAGTTCAGGCTGACCTTGAACTCACTTTGTAGCCCACGTTGGCCTTGAATTCATGGCAGTCCTCCTGTCTCAGCCTCCCGAGTGCTGGGATTACAGACATGCACCACCACACCCAGCTAGAAATGGTTACTTCTTAAAGAGCAAGCTAAAACTACAAGCCCTCTCAGTTGTCTGGTTTGGATCTCATGTTCATTTTTGATCCACTTTCTATGGACTAGAGAATGCCATGGGTTCTTTTGTTCATTCATGAAGACAAATACAAATTTCTTGGACAAATAAGGCTGACCCTGGTGTTAGGGGTGGATTAAGCTCTCTGAGATATATGAACTCTGTGGAGAAAACACGGATACCTAAACAAAATCAGTGTTCTTTCAGGAAAGGAGAAGGGGGAATTCAGTGTCTCTGTTATTCCTTGTTTCTTCAGTCTCTCAGACTCCCCTTGTCTAGCTGTACATGGTTTCACTACAAGCCCTCCCCGCTTGCCATTCCTTAATACACGCAGGTGTTCTCAACTTTCCATTTTCTGGACTCACAAGTATTCAGGATATTGTGAGAGTGGAAGAACAGTGTGGGCAAGTCACCGAGGTACTTGAAAAATCTCAGACACAAAAGTATCTCCTTTCTGTTTAGTCACTAGGGCATAAGAAGCAAAGTCCTCTTTGAGACATGACTTCTTTCCATTTTTTTGCTGCTGTAGCTGGATACTCAGTCTGGGTAATTTATAAAGAATAAACTTTTTTCTTTATAACTTACAGGTAATTTATAAAGCATAAATGTTCCTTATAACTTATGGGTAACTTATGACTATGAATATTCTTCAGCTCAGTTGTTGAGGGCTGGAAGTCCAAGAGCATGGCGCCACCATCTGGTGTAGCCCTTGCTACAGCTTAACATAGAAGAAGGTGCCACACAGGGAAGAGTTCTCTTCCTATAAAGCAGCTAATTCCTTCATGGGGGTCCCACTCTTACTACCTTATCTAATCCTAAGGACCTCCCAAGGTCCCGCCTTTAAATACTAACATGACTTTAGATTAAATGTCCGATACCTGAGTTCCAAGGGTCACGCCGAAGCCATAGCACACACTGACAAGAAGGGAAGTTAACCTGTATTGGAGTATAGGATATAGCTGGATATTTAGCTCTTACAAAGCTCTGGGGCTTGCATGTAGTAATAGTTTTCTGCATCATTCCTACCCATAGGAAAGGAATATTCTTAGAGTCATGCATGTGTGTTAGTTTCCTAGGCTGTCATGACAAATTACCATAGTATGCTGGTGTAACACAACATAAATTCATTTTCCTATAGTTCTGCAGACCAGAAATCTACAGTCAAAGCATTGGCAGGCTATGCTCCCACTTAACACTCTAAAGAACTGTTGCTTGTCTTTCTCAGCTTCTGGTGGCTGCTGGTATCCTTAGCCCATGATAGCCAAACCCCAATCTCTTCCTGTCTTCACATGACCTTCCCTACGTCTCTGTTTCCCTTCATGAGGACATTTGTTGGGTGCAGGTCCTATCCCGTTCATCTAGAATGATCTCAGTTATATCTGCAGAGTCCAAATAAGGCCACAATCATAGGTGCCAGGAATTAGAATTTGAACATATCATTTTTAAGATCATCATTTAACCCACTACACCAGGATTCACTGCCTACATATGCTACAAAAAGTCTTTTTTAAAAAATCTCTACCTAAAAATGGACATGAGTCCCTTTTTTTTTTTTTTTTTTTTTGATGCCAGACTCATTTCACTGTGATCTGAGGGAATTTGTCCTGTTTCATGAACATTTCTTCAAAGGTTTTCCTCTGTGTATATGTTTGGTCTTCATGAATAACACGATATCTGTCCCACTGTGATTAGCCTAAGTAGTTATGACAACTCATTTTGTCCTGTTTATGTGTGTGACACTGTC